ATAGCCGGTAGGCCAATCATTGTAATGCGCACATCTGTAAGATATAGTTGTAAGCCACTAAAAATGACCGTCAAAAATATGTAACCTTAAATTTTAAAAGCACTGATAATGTAAGAAATACCCCATTAAATCGCCATAAAACTTTAATATACCAAGATACACAATACTATAAGCTAAGATAATTTATCTCGTTATTAGTCTTCCTTAAAAAATTCTTTATAAAACTCTTAAAATACACGCCGAAACAAGATAATCTAAACTGGGACAGACGACAGGCAAAATAAATATAAATGGTGCGAGGTTGCAATGCAAATATATTTATTTCCTTTCAGTTTTTAAAAATAGGATTTTTGTACAAAGTTGTCTGTATAAAAGATTAAATTTAAAACTTAAAAGTTATACAAAACGCTTCTTTAAGACTATGTGAGCAATGTGCTTTATAAATGTGAACCTTTGCGTGTGGAAGCTTTCTTAGATCTCTGAAGAAAATTTTTATCTGACAAGTTTATCCTGAAATTCTATATAAGAGATCCCATTGTAAGCAATACAATCTTATATACTAAAACGCTAAGCCCTTTTCTTGTCCACCACTTTACTCAAAAACCATATTAGATAATTAAAATATTTTTTCGGAATATTATTAGTATTACGTATGAGATTGTCAAGATATACTTTTGGTACAAAATTCACTTCCGGTTTTGAGATGACCGGAAGTTAAAATTTACTTTAAGTTTTAGACCCCACAATGTATATATGGATCGAAATGTCTCGTCGAGACGAATCTAAATATGTACTTCCGGTTGCGATCCGACACCGGAAGTGACCCGAAACGCGCATAAAACGTCAAGATAGAGCAAATCTGACACCGGATTCGTAATCAGCATGCAAAATTAACTGCTAAATGATATCCATGTCGACATTTGATGAACTAAAAATTGCATTCCGGTTTTGAGGTCGACTTCCGGTTTCGTTTTTATTAAAAAGTAAAAAGTAAAAGTTTACATAACTCCCGGTGCCAAGCAAAAGTTTTCAGAAAATGGAGACATTGTAACAAAAAACATTGTTTTCGACGAAATATTTCGTGATATTTAATACACTTTTTACTTGCATTATTATTGATGAATGTTATGTATATTCTTGCTTATATTGTTTGTATTGATCTCTTAATTTTTCTCGCAAAATAAAAATTTCATTTAAAAAACTCGATGTCGAGGTGGTCCGCTAGTTTCTGTATTAAACTGCTTCGATTTAACAATAAAATATTGGTCTAAATAATTCTCGCCTATCTTATGTACAGCTTTTCGTAATACTTGTAATATTAGAAAAAATATTGAAAAACTGCATCAATCGGATTTTTCTCGGGCTTTAGAAACATAAATTATTGGTGTAAAAAATTCTCCCCTAACTTAAATAGGTACAGCTTTTCGTAATACTTGTAATAGAAAAATTATTAAAAAACTACCTCAGTCGGATTTTTTCAGGCTTCAGAAACATACTTAGCAAAGCTATCTATTATTATACTGCCAAATATCCTAATCACATATAAGTATATACGTATGCTTTAAAACAAAATGATAGGGTATGTTGTGCCTTTTATATACCAGCATTAAACGTTAAAAAAAATTAAACTTGATTCCAACACATCAATATTTTTAGCAGAAACTATAGCTATTATAAAAGAATATCAATACGCCGAAAATTAGAAACTTAAACAAATAAACATATTATCCGGCTCATTATCCGTTCTAAAAAGTTTCTCTAGCCGTCTAGATGAATATTTTATTAAAGTGCGTCACCCAGCAACAATGAATTAATATACTATTATCTAATTTAACAACCATGCAGTTTAGTATAATATTTACTTAGATAAAAGCTCATATTGGTATTAAATATAATGAAAAAGTAGATCAGTTGGCCAAAGACAGCATTTTCAGTAGCGAGGAAGTATTAAATGAAATCAGACTTCAAAAATGCAGAATTTATAGTAGTAAAGCCAAGCTACATGATAATACTGTCTAAAGCGTCCGACAAGGTACACTTTTTGGATCCGAAAATCCCGACGGATTATTGGCATAAAAATTTAGATATTTTAAGATACGGTATTGTTACTATCTCGTCGCTAGATGGGCCATGTTGAACGGATGTTGGAGACTGAAACGCCAAAACATATAATGAGGCAAACACCAGTAGGGAGAAGGTCAAAAGGAAGACCCAAACTTAGATACATGGCATAAGTGGAACAAGATATAAAAACACTTAAGATTACCAACTGGAAAAACATAGCAAAGAACAGAACAGAATGGCGGAAAATCCTAGAACAAGCCAGGACCCAGAAAGGGTCGTCGAGCTACTGATGATGATGATGATTGTTACTATCTCAAACTAAAATGTGGTTACTCTGTTTTTTTCCCAGGTAATAATACTTCTTTGCCCGTAGTCTACTTAGTATGTGGTTAGTCATCTTGAACGATCCCCGATGTGAAAAGTTTTTTCCCTTCCGTATCCTTGATTGTTCTTAGGTTCGTAATGGTCTTGGTGTATGGTAAGGTAAGTTTAGTTAGGCATTAATTTTAAGAAATGTATCTGGCTAAATGGACACAGCTCCTTATGGCCAGAAAGCCATTATACAGTTTCAGTAATTTAGTCAAATAGTTAATGTACTTGTTAATGTTGACGTTTTTGCAGGGTGGCAAAAAAATCATACTCTTATTCGGATCTTAAAAATATGAATACAGAAATCTTTATTATTTTGTTTGAAATCGATGACGAGCATAAAGTAAATTAATATAAGGTTGAATGTTCGAATAATTAAACTTTGAGGGTATACAAGGCAACTATCGTACACGGTGATTAATTTAATCTTGCCCAAGTACTTTCGATCAATAGATCATCTTCAGGGGCATTTCGTCAGTTGTGGCCTATCCGACATAGTAGAATGTCATAAATGTAAAATTTGGACATAACAATACAAAATACAAAACACTAAGACAAACAAACACTTTAAATTTTTTTTTTTTAAGGAGAAGCTACATGTTGTATAGAAGCCGGAGACAGAATCTTCTCCGAATTCTGTCTCCGGCTTCTATACAACATGTAGCTTCTCCTTAAAAAAAAATTTTAAAGTGTTTGTCTTAGTGTTTTGTATTTTGTATTGTTATGTCCAAATTTTACATTTATGACATTCTACTATGTCGGATAGGCCACAACTGACGAAATGCCCCTGAAGATGATCTATTGATCGAAATTACTTGGGCAAGATTAAATTAATCACCGTGTTCGATAGTTGCCTTGTATACCCTCAAAGTATAAAGTAAATTGTTTATAAACTGAAGAAGAAAAAAAAGAACCAGTTCAAACTTTTTCTTTTGCCAAATAATAGACAAACCGTTAGATTTTTAGAGATTTCTTCTCTTATATATGAACGTCCATTTGGTACAAAGAGACCGGTAGATGTGTCATCTCCAATAGAAATATTGTTGACAATTTTTGGAGCTTCTTAGAAAAAGTAGTACGTTGTTGGAGATACTTATTATAATGGATTCCATCAATTACTATCAGTAAGAATATATTGTTCTTCTAATGAAATTCTCAGTCTCCGAAATTGCAAGAATTATGCTTCTTTCTTCAGATTTCTTCAGATACTAAGATACATCTGAATGATGAACACAAAGATGTCGGCTAAAGGCAAAGAAGGTTTTGATAAAGTGTACAAAGTTCGCCCTATTGTAGATTATTTGAATACACGTTATAAAGAACTTTTGTTTTTAAAGTCGAAACTTGTCAACTGACGAAAGCATGATGATTGTTTTCAAAGATAGATCAGTCATAAAATAATATGTATCTTGAAACAAATTAAAAGTGGCATTGCTTGTGCTGCTACTGGATTTCTTTTAGGATTTGATATATATCAGGGAAAAGGAAGTGTTGTTAATAAAGAATTTGGACTTGGTGAAAATGTTGTTCTGACACTAAGTTCAATGTTTCAGGCATATGGAAACTGCTTGTTTTTTGACAGAGTTTTAACTTCAATACTTTTATTGAGTAAACTACTCTTAAAATACTTTCTAAATTCAGAAAGTTTTCTAAACATGTATTGTGTTAAGATAAAAATTTGAAATTTGGTGACGATGATTACGCCATGACTGACCCGAGATCAGTCACAAAATGGCAAGATCACGATAAAAAAGTGTAGTGATGGTAGTATGCAAAAACCCATAACGAAAGCCACAATACAGAGAACTAATAAAACTGGCACCAAAGAGCAAATTCTATATCCACAAAGTATTGTCGATTACAATCTGAACATGAATGGAGTAGATCTTGTTGCCTAAACCTAAACTAAATCTATGTTTCTCTATCTAAGCCATGTTATTAATATTTAAAAGTATGGCAATTAATTAAGAGACTTTACGAACAGAAAGAGGTCTGGAAGAAAAACTGAATGGGTCACTGTGAAAAAAAAAACTGGAAGATTGAAATTGACAGTATTTAAGTTAGACAAGTTATTTCCAATGTTAGTAAACATTTCCTAAAACGGGTAAATGAAATAGATGTTCTTTTTGCAGCACTAAAAAAGTGTAAAAATATCCTTTTCTTAATTTTTTTTTTAATTTTTTTTATTTTAATAAAGAATTTTAAAATAAATTTATTTTATTTTAAAATTTTATTTTTATTAGAATATCCTTTTTAATAAATTTTTTTTGTGTATATTTATTTGTGTCCATATTTTTAGACACTATTCACGAGCATTGGTCGTGGTCAGGAACGTTAGGTAGCTAAATTATTAGTCTTCCTATTTTGTCGTATTATCAAAAAATAAAGACTTTTTTTCACTAAAAAATAATCTTATTTGCCTACCCGTTATTATCAGAAAAAAAATCTGCATTTACAATAATAAAATTTGAGGCAGATTGCCATGCAAGGTCAAAATTCTATCCCAAGAGGACTACAATATTACTAAATTGATTACAAGTAAATACGAAAATAGAAAAAAGGTTTACCTTTATTTCAAAAGTTTGAGGATCAAGTAAAAAGAAACTTTCATTTTTTATCTGATAAGACGGCTTCGGCCATATTTCTCCTTTAGTTGGGGGATATCTAGGACCAGGTTTCTCTATATAACACTGCACAAAAGTCACATATATTAACGTTAACAAAAATATAATTAACTTCTCCATTATTAGAAATGAATGTTATGCTTCGAGTAAAACTGAACATATGCTGAAAGATTTGATCAAAAGATTGTATAAATATAAAATTGATGTGGCTGTGACTTTATTCATAGTTATTGCTTTGTTTGATAACCAGTTATTAATTATTCTAAGTGTATACTGATATGTAAAATTAGTTAAACTGAACAAGTTTGTTTTTTGATATTTAATAGATATTGAGTATTTTAAAAATATTTTTATTTGGCTAGTTATATCTTTGTTAGTTATCTTAAACAAGTAATTGATAATAATAACAAAAATTTTACAGTGTGTGCAAAAAATAAATAATCGGTAATATTACGATTACGAATAGGTTTATAAGAAATAAGTATTCATTGAATCTTTTTTGAATAAATCAACTAATTTTTATAAATATGTAATTCGAAATAAAGTAATGCCCAATATTTTGACTATTAATTTATTAACTAAAGATAAAAGTAATAAATTGGGAAGATAAATAAGATAAATCATAAACTATTATTACTTATAGCAAAAGCCAATTATGGGAAGTTCCTGGAGTGTTTAATTTTAAAATAATACATTTTAGTTGTATTTTATAATAAAATGGTGAAAATGAAACAGTAGTGGACTCAAGTATATCTGAATAGCAAATATTATTATACTTACTAACATTTAACACTAACTAATATTTTCCAGATACGCCACTGAAAGAATGCTGAACTTGTTGAATGTAAGGCTGGGTACACACATGTCAGTAAATTGGGAAAGTAGCTGGCATGCCAGTTGCTGGCATAGGCCAGTAACTGGCAAGCCCAAAACACATTTGTTAGTAATTGGCATGCCAGTAGCTCGCTTGCCTTTAACTGGCAAGGCGAAAAAGCAGGTAGATTCTTACACATGCCAGTGTTAGTAAACAATCGAGTGGTTTTCATCTGAAACTAATAGTACTTGTTTTGTAATTAAAATTTTTTAAGTTTCTAACAAAAAAAAGGAGATTCATGGAAGGTATTCGGAATGCATTCAAAAAGCAAATATTGATGATAACCACAGATATTGTTAGAAATTTAATAATGAATTCGAAGCGGAACTCAAAACAAAAATTGGGTGAGAAATTAAAATTTTAGGAGAGAAAATCTTGGAGCAATTTTTTATTTTGCCCTTTATCTCCTTTATACTAATATCTTCACCCATTTCATCTTAAATTTTTGTGTAAGAATTGTAACGGGCTATTTTATTTTTATGTAAACATGATTTAGAATTCAAAAGACACTCCAATTCTCTATATATAGCAATGAATTTAATGGTTTTTTCATCACCCCAACGAAACATTTTTTACTTAACAAGTTTAAAAATAAAACGATTAATTTTTATCCCCAATACAACAAATCTGACAATTCTTTGCTAGCTACTGGCATGCCCGTAGCGACAGCGCGTGTTTACACATGCCAGTGACACGCTCCACGCATGCACCTTGCATCTCACAGCATGCTATTAGCAAGAAAATCAAATTCTTTGCGATTAACTAGCATGCCAGGAACAAGCATGCCAGTTAATGTACGCATTTGCTAGTTTGGGGACAGTAGCTAGTGCTTGCTAGGATATATGTATGCTATTGTGCTAGTAACAGGCATGTGTATCTCCGGCTTTATTCTTGGAAACAGCTCTAACCTCGTCATAGATAGCTTTTGCTGTAACTAGTTCCTACAAATCTGTCTGTGTTAGTTGTTAGAGAAACTGATTAGCTCTATCACCGATGCCGTCGGTCCCAAGCTTGGAAAAAGGAGGAGATTATATAAGTAACACCTTTATAACATACCAGAGTTCAGCTGGCCAGGCTAATGGCCTTCTGTGAAAGTCGTTTGTCTAGGGTTATAGATGAAGGACTTAAATCAATAATAACAGAGACTATGAGAAATTGCATAAACAAGGTAGATGAAAAAATAAAATGCCTTATTGGTGGTGCCAAGAGATCGCCAATAAGAGGAAGGAATACATTGCCATCAGAAGACAGGCTACGAGGGCAAGAGGTAGAGAAGACGTAACCAAAGCTAGCAGAATAAATATAAAATATAATGCGCGAAAGAAGAAACTAAACAGGTAGATCCGAACCGAGAAGAAGAGGCACTGGAGAGAACTGTATCACAAGTTGGATGAAGACGTTTAGGGTCAAGGGTACAAATCGTAATGGGCCAGTTCAAGCTGTACCCTTTGTATATGATGCAACTGGACAGGTAGGTGGAGGTTAGCTGAGAGCTGTTTCCACCCGGCCACTGACATGGAATGCAGTGGATTCTACGAAGATGCACTCAACGAAGCGTTAAGTGCCCTAGAAAAGAAGCGCTGAAATGCATTGACAGTATGGATCAAACGTGGCTTTTGGAATATATGAATGTACTGCTTTAACCCAGCGATTTCCGGCAAATTGGAAGACCTCGAGGCTCGTGTTAAAGGGAAAATCCAAGTATCGACCTGTTTGCTTTGTGTCGTGCATAGGTAAATTATACGGGAGGTTGCTAAGAGGACGAATAAACACAGTGATTGAAGAGTCAGGCGGGCTATCACCCAGGCAGTACGGTTTCAGAAAAAACAGGAGCACGGTGGATACGCTGATGAAAGTCTTTCGGGAGTTACGCGGGGTAGGGGTTAACCAGAGATGGGTAATCCTACTTTTGTTTCACATCCGGAATGCTTTTAATACATTAAAATGGAAAGAGATAATGAAGGCTCTTCGAGAGAGAAGGTGTCTGATTGATTGATATCATTGATTGCGGGCACCGGCATACGGATTACTTCCTGACGCATATGCTCACAGGACATGGTTGCTTTACCTTTATAGATTTGGAAAGGCAGAAAATTACAAATGCCTGTGTTGTAAAATATCGGACTATGTCTCATGCACTCGGAATGCGATAGATGGATAGGTGAGAGGAGCTTGCTTCAGAAAGAGCTAGGAAGTAGGATACAATCAATCACGGAACCTTTGGAGGAGATACTTAGGTCGTCAGAGCGATGGAAAGCAGTTCAGAGATATTGATGGGAGACAAAAGAACAAGAGAAAGGCGACTCATAAGGAGGCAGGGTGTCCAGGTGCAAGCAAGAAGAATGCCGTGCCGATGTTGCGTCCCAATCATTGCGATCCGGTCAGTAATTCACCGCTGAGGATTGTGTTTTTTTGGCAGGTAGGTCTTTGACATTGACGACGGAGCTGTCCATACAACCCTTGCGCGCGGCGACCTCGGATATCATTGTGGCCACGCTGGAGGAGTCCTGTATAACGGAGACTAGAAGGCGGTTCTGCTCACCTTCTAGGACCGAGGTATATTTCAAATATTTGGACCACCCCTCCTCATAAAAGAAGAAAAAAAAAAGGTTATAGATAAAGACTACAATGACGATGAAGGCAAATAAGATGAGTATTCTAAACAGTGAATTCGAAGGAAGTGGTAACCAGCTTTTAAGCGTAGTGAAATAACATATGCGCAGCGTCTGTTCCAGAATGAACAGTACTCACAAAACAGAGCTGAACTCAAAACAGTAAAGACAATCGGATATGAAACTATTACCAACTATTTTTTAGGATATTTCTATGGCAAAGAATACAAAAATCACGGCCCGTAATCTTGGGCAGCCTTTTAATAGGCAATTGGATGCAAAGAGTCTCCCGGTTCAAAATAGCAAAATCCCCCGTGAAAATAGACACATGGAACGTAAAAAGTCTTTATACTTCCGGTAAATTTTAAAACCATGTTCAGGAGATCAAACTCTTAAAATTGTTAATTATTGGTGTACGCGAATTACGACAACCTGTTTAAGGAGCATGCAGACACAAAGATGGTATACTGTATTATAATGAAAATAAAAACGGCGACCAACAACTTAGAAATGGAGTAGTATTCGAAAAATATGTCATCAACTTTGTCCCAATAAATAACATGAATAATGATTTTACGGCTGCGCATTTAATACGGCTAAATTTAATATTAACGTAACACAATAGGTATGATCCTACTGCAGAAACAAAATATGACAATAAAGTAGAAATTCTGTATAATAAGCTTAGTGTATCATTAAAAAGTTTATCATCCAATAAAAATTACATACATAATGGGCGATTTTAATGCCAAAAAATGGTAACGCGCATAAATCAGATCTTTTAATGAAATATGGCCTGTGAGACAGAAATAAACTAGGGAATAGACTCTTTGCTTTTTACCCAGAACACAATATGATAGTAATAAACACACACTATAAGCTTCATCCTCGCAGGCGAAAGAGCCTCTGGAGATAATCTTGTTCTGATTTAGTTATTTCTTTAAAATAAGCTTATTTAACCTACAATTATAAAAGGGACTTGTGGGAACACATACGTTCCACAAAAAAAAAACTTTTAGGCAACCTGTATCAACGTATATTGCATTATAGAATCTTTAGTGCTTTGTTAATCAAAATTAGTTATTGAACATGAAAAGGTTGATGAAATTATAAACGATCTTCTGTCTCAATATGTTAAGGCTGTCACATAGACACAGTTGCTAATCTTATAAAATACTGTAAGAGGTGTGGGTCTGCTCTTTCTATTTCTTCTCGCAGTAAATTTAGTTTTTCTATCGAATCTCTTTCTCCCTCTATCACATGTTGGAATTCAACATGAAAAGTCATATATTTAAAATTTGTTCTAAACCCAAGACGAGATTTTATCATGGTTGCTGCATAAAGAATATCACTATTTTTTTCATGTAAATATCCAAAAAACGAGTTGCGATGTCAATCTTCGACAGACAGCATACCTCAAAGTAGCCAGATGTCGGTTCTAAGTACAACACACAAAGGAAATAAAATGATAGGCAAATTGCTTTAAAAACTTTTAAATAACCCAAGCCATTGAATGCGTCTAAGCAATTTCCACCTTAAACTGCTACTTCTTCTTCTGCTTCATTGATATCTGAAACTGATATATGTACTTTCCTTTGATGCAGCCTAAACCCTTACGTTTTTCTAGTACTTCTTTTTCTTCTAGTTGTTTCTTGAACTTAAAAGTACATTTAAATTCTGGTATATTACTATATGTTCATACAAACGACAATAAACATGTATTTCTATTTGTTTGGGTAATTAAACAATTTCTGCACTTCTTGACAGTGGCAGTAATGTTAGCATTATTGGTT